ATAACGTATTTATCTGAAAATGATTTTTCATTTTCTAAGGTCCAATGTTTACGTATAAAAATACAATACAAAAAAACGAAGCAAAGTCGAAATCAAAAGCTGTTTCTAATATTTGATTAAGGATAATTCATATTCTCATGCAAATATTAAAAACTAATCATTGCTATTCAAAGATTTTAGGGAAAAAAATTCAAGTTTCTGTCTTTGACTTTGAGTCTTAAATTCATTTCTTACTGTGAATGTTTACTAAATTCGTTTTACTTATCCTTTCATTTGAAAAAAAGTTATTGGAAATCTTACAATTTGTGAAACTTCTAATTTCAAAGCTAAAAAGACACTCATCTCTTACAATTCATTGTATTTTACTGAAGAAACTTTAGCCTTCACGGTGAAAAGTTTCTGTAAAAACATAAAAAGCAAAACAGGAATCCCTTTTTATTATTCTACACTGTATAAAATGTACAGGTTTATGAAATTTGTGTATCCACTTTTTACAGTGCAATAAGAATGAATCCCATGACGTCTCCAGTAGCTGTGTTAAGGCTCCTGTACTACATTGTTAAAACTTTGGAGCCACGTTGCACCAAAAGTTGGCATTCATTTGCTGGGTACATAAAGTGGAGCTCAATTTTACCACAATTTGGTATTTTCATTAGCTCCAAATATCAACAGAAGATTGCACCAAAAGTAGGTGTTTGAAGAAACAAAACACCTATTTTCATTTTTTTTCTTTTACTAAAGTCGAAAAAGGTTGCACCATTATTACGTATTTTTAAAGCAATCAAATGCAAGCCCAGGTTTCTATTTACCGTAATAAAGCTATTTACCGGAATTAGGTTATTTCATGACAGACCTCTAACCACTTTATACCGCCAACTAAGTTTAAAAAGGTAACTTAAAAGAAATGAACTATAATTAAAGCAAATAAACATTTACCTACCTAAATAAGTTGATACTTGAAACAACATGGCATTAGTCGTTCCGATACACCGAGACAGAACTGTAAAGACAACATGGCGTAGTAAACAAATATAGTTCAGTTTACAATAACCGTCAAAGTTTTGCGTCTTTTACCAAATTTTGGTGCAGTCAGTTGCACCATGGAAGTATTTCTAGATCATCCTTCCCAATTTTTGGAGTAACTTAGATGAAATGATCTTTTGATTAAATAAACTTACCAAATTTTGGTGCAGTTAGTTGCACCATGGAAGTATTTCTTGATCATTCTTCCCAATTTTTGGAGTAACTAAGATAAAATGATCTTTCAATTAAATAAACTTACCAAATTTTGGTGCAGTTAGTTGCACCATGGAAGTATTTCTCGATCATCCTTCCCAATTTTTGGAGTAACTAAGATAAAATGATCTTTCAATTGACTAAACTTTAGGATAATAAGAAACTTTGCACTAAATACCGGTTAATGATTTTTTGCAGTGTAGTTCTTGATCAAGCTCACAGTAAACACACACTATTCACAGGATTGCTCCAAGAGCTGAGATAAAAACCGGTTTTCCCTGTGCAATTCTATAAAGTGGATTTTTTCAGATATTTTAATGTAATGTAATTTATTCCATAAGTAGTAATAAGCTTCCATTAGCTATAGAGATTAGAGTGTCCTCCACTACACAACTTCGTTTGGGGTTAGATTATCAGTGCTAAAAGTTTCTAATCGATTTGCACTTTTCCTTCTCCTGTATTAGTGGCTGGGATTTAACTGTAGTGTAATGTACCCGGTGGATTTAAAGCTAAAAATGGCTTAATGACTTACAGCCGAGAAATTATTTATAAAGTTTTACTAATTTAATTTCTGGGAAACTGAGGCAAATTCTTCCATTTATATCTTTCTGTATTTTTTTCTGAAACTCTGTAATTTTATATGAGATCCTTGATAAATGTTTTAAAGCAAATTCACATTGAAATTTTCTCCGCCTTCTGATGTTGTTTCTTCTCCGAACATAATGATAGGATATATAAGGTGTTACCACCCTTAATATAAAATTTTGAAATTCTTTTTAAAGAAATGAAGTGAAAATCGCAAAAAGAGTGGAAAATTAATCTTTTATTGAGAGGAAAAGAAAATCAAAAATTTTGCCAAAATCGTTAAATTTAATAACGAAGAAGGCAAGATTTAAAACACCAGAATATCTTTGATTGCTGATGGAAACGGAGAGGAGAAAAAAGATTAAAATGTTCCATCATCGGCCTTAGCGCGATTACAGTAATATTAATGTTTTAAATCCTGGCTTAATCAAAAGAATTTCTTTAGAATTTAATGTACTTTTTTTTTAATCTTAAATATTAGTTATCGACTTCCAATGTACAGTAAGCAAAACAAAAAACGAACCTCCCTAAATTACTTTTGATTTAACGATTAAATCTTCATGCTCTAGGACACATTTCTAACGACACGAGGGCGTGACCTCAAATATCCTAATTAATTAGTACAGTCGATATTTTAAGTTACTAAACTGGACACAAAAACGTACTTACTCTGTATAAACATACCTTATTTCCAGCAAATTCGAGTGCTTGATCTCTAAACCATAAGGAGTAGCCGTAATCTGAGAAATAGGATCCTCATATTTTGGTCACGAGAGCACTTCAAAGTTTAAATATCTTTAATGTGAATTTTATTTTTACGTATTTCACCATGTCACGATAAATTTTTAAACGAAATGAAAAAAATTTGCTCACTATTATAAAATTCGCTTATCCAAAGATAATTTCCATTCAAAATTTTTTTTTAAAATATTTATTATTTTTTATTATTTTGTTTAATAAGGGACGAAAAATTTTTGAATAGTAAGATAAAATTTTGTTTACATAATTTTAAAGTATTTAGTTATACATGGCATAATATAAAATTTGGGCGAAATCGGTTGAATAGTTTCTGTAAAATAGTATTTTATGCATACGACTTTTTTAAAATTTGCTTTCATAAAAACTATTCAACTAATTTCGCTCAAATTTTGTATTTTGCCATGTTGATTTACATACTTTAAAATTATGTAAAAAGTTGCATATCTTACAATTCAAAATTTTTTCGACAGCAATTAAATGAAACAATAAAAAAATTAAAAATTAGTGCGTGGAGTCCCTCCGCGCGGAAGAAGTTAAGCTTCGTAACCTGCGACGTTAATTGTAGAAGAATCCAGCAGTCGTAGAAGGATCACTAGTTCTATTCAACGACTCTTTTTCCTGCTCCGCTCGCTTCCGTGCTCTGTAATCACGGTAATATTGTGCATTTTTCCCTCGTGGACCTCTTCAACCAGTGAAAGTGCTTGTGGTTGCCTCATCGTCTCGCCATGGAAAATGTATTTGTATTAATAATGTGTGTGAATGCGTCGTAATGTAATTTCAAAAGAGAAAACCTAACAATCAATTGATATTCACAAGAGACGTACCTTAATCCGTCGCATTGTCCGTGGGATTGTTTTCACTCATTTTTTGCAATTGTTATCCGCTAAATTTGAAAATAAAAAATACTATCCAATTAAATATATGTGTATCAAATCAAACTACACACATTTTGTACTTCATTTTTAAAAATAATTCTAAAAATACGTTCTTCTTCTTACGTTCTCTATTTAACTAATTCATAAGTAAAGTTATGTCTATAAAATAAGCGAACAATCAATAGCATACACATGCAAAGCAATTCGCTGTTTTAACCTTCAACCTTTTTTTTTTTCAAAATTTTACGAGAATTCGAACAAAAGGAATATATTCTAAAGATTCGAAAGACGTTAGTATAAATAATAGTTCCCATTCGGAATTGGCAGAAGAAATGTTGTTTTGTTTTCGGAGGAAAAAAAAGGAATGATTTGGACATTTTCAAGACCGCAACAAGAATTCGAGAACTGAATATAGCTTTTGGTGAAGAAAAAGTGTTTTTATCGATAAAAAAAATGCGACAGTATTTTTTTCCTTTAGATACACCATTCGATACTAAGCGTGAAGTGAAACGAAAGTCAGAGTTGTAGTCATTTCTTTAGCTGCTTTTTTTTTCGCAGTTTCTGAAAAGATCATTCCTCCTGTCAGATAAAAATCGATTTGTTAAGAGCCTTACACCTATATTTTTTTTAGTATTGACATGCGTATGATTGCATGTAAAATCCAAGAAATCCAAAAATCTTCTAGAAATATTCGTACAATTTTGAGAGTCGATGGCTAATTTGTACGATAAAGCCTTCTTATTCGTAAAAAGAAAAAAATGTTCAGTAACCATAACTGTACTGAATACTCTGATGGAACATACAAGTAATGAAACAGTTTCGTTAAATACTTGAAAATTCGCGTTAGGTTTGTTCCCGAATGTGGAAAAAGTATGAATATTATTTTAAAATTTTATTATCCTACTTAGAGTTAGAAGCAATAATAGGAAATACGGATATTGATATGTTTTATAAGTTTTTATTGTGTTTCTTATATTTTATAAAAATTGTTTTGGCAGTTAATAATAGTTCTGGAAGTAATCCAAAAATTTAATTACTGAGAGCTGTCATAATCTCTTCGAGAACAATATTTTTTTCCGAATCCTGCAATTTTGAGTAAAATTTTTTATTTATAACTTTTTTTTATCTTAGCAGCCGATTTATATTAGTTAAGATGAATATCCGATCGGATTACTCTTTCATTGATCATGTCGTAGTGATTCAGAATCAACTCTAATGCTACTACTCTAATCTAATGAATCTACTCTAATGTTGTTCCAGTGAGCGAAAATCCCAAACATACACACATACATTCTAGGCATAATAATACAGATGAAGCTACCACTATCTGCTTTACCAATGTAGATTTAGCATGCAGGCGTCAGCATTATCTTTAAATCATCCAAATCAATAAGTCAAATCTCCTATTAGGGTAGCTTAAATGTGTAATGTATCTCATTACAATATATTTTATTATATTGTATCTCTCAATATTTTTAGAAATGTTTTGAATTGAAATGAATTAAACAACTAGTTCCTATATTTTTTTTTGTCTTTTATTTTCAGTTGCTGTTGTCATCGCCTTTTTTCTGTGCTGGACACCATTCCATGCGCAACGGTTAATGGCCATCTACATATCGAATCCCACAGAATACGATTACACAATATTCAGCTTCTTAACCAACATCTCCGGAATATTATACTACGTCAGCGCCACCATCAACCCCATACTTTACAGCATACTCTCACTCAAGTTTAGACACGCTTTTAGAGACACTCTGGGACGCTGCTTGGGTAGAAGCGTGGGCCGAAAAAACCGATGCAGAAGTCGAACCATGAGCTACTTCAACAGTACCCTTAAGTCTGGAATGGAACTGACTGAGGATTTTACCATTGTTTCTGAAGCACCCGGAGGACACGAGCACATACACATGAATTTAAATGGTGGACATAATGGCAGGAAGGTATCCCGTCTGCTTACAACCACGAGTGGTAATGGCACTTCGATTTCTTCGGCGGAGGACAGTAGATTGCCCAAGAAGAAAACGAGTAGTACCATTAGTAATGCGTCACTGAGGATGGACGCCTTCGACGATGCCAGTGTTTCAGTTTTTATCGATCAAATGAAAGAGCCATATTAAGATGCATGTGACTCGCATGTAAAATAGCTTACATTTTTAATTATTTAAAGTTGCAAATACTCTTATTCCATGTGCCAGCTCGACAAGGTCTGTATGCAGTCTCCGACGAAATTATTAGACGCATTATAAGATTCTATGTAAAAACTTAATTATCAAGTGACACTATACAGCTTTATTTTTTGACACGACTGAAACCAGTTTGCACTTGTTTCCGTTCGTGTACCAATTGATTAAATTAGGCGATATATAATATAAATTCGACGATTGGATAAATTGGGCAATATATTATATAAATATAAAATATTCATTATACCAGGTATTATATTAGTACATTATAATAATTAGACCAAATTATTAGACGCACTGTAGTTCTTGTAATTAATTACATGTTTTGCACGAATTTATATGCAATACTTTTATATTTAAACATATATGTAATGGGTTTTTATTCAGGAGATTTTTTATATGCTTAATTTGTATTTATTTTCACCATATTGTATTACAATGTAACCGGACGTAAACAAGTGCAAACCGGTTTCGGCCACGTAAAAACAATAAAGATATATATTATCATCTGATAATTATGATTTTACATAGAGTCTTTTAGTGCGTCTAATAAGGTATTCAGGGACTGTAACTGAAAGAGCAAAAAAAAATTCTGCTCACGCAAAATTCTTGAGATGTTAAATACAACTTCAAATGTAACACCAGAGTGGGGTAACAAATCAGAAAACGACTGGCAATAACTGCTTATAGTTGCTTTTGGTAATACAGATTAAAAAGATTTTCTTAACAGCAAGGAATGAAATTCAACGAACTCAAAGATTAGAAACAAATACGACATATTAACGATAAAAATAAAATGATATAATAATAAAACTGCGATCGATATATTTCTAACACAGAGAAAGAAAGCGAGATTATTGAAAAACTTCACAAAGTATTTCAACCGAAAACACTTCTCTTTCAGACAATTTTGATGCTATTTGTCGCCTTTCTTTGTTAATAACACCTCTTTAACACTGGAAATCTAGTGTACAAAATTCGACAAATATCAATAAATGTCTTGAGTTTGCACTGGCGATATAAAATTTTATTTTTTTTAAAAAATAATGATTCTACACAGGGAAAAAATTCAAATAAAATTACTTAACTGTAACGACAATTTTAAGAATAAAAATAATAATAAAATACATAATTTTAAATATCAGAATCAAAATACACGGTATTTGAACCATTCATTTGGTAATTTTTTCTTTCATATGGTAACGGTTTACTGGAAATTCTGGTTTTCAAAATTTAAGTTCTTATAACCACATATTTACTAAAAATACAAAACTAAAAGGTAAATTTAGCCAATTAATGCAAAAGTAAACTTTTATTACATGCTCTAAGGTATCATGAGAAAATTGCTAAATTTTTTAAAATTTACCATATTACATCACATATTGTAAAACCACATTTTATTGTTAATTTTACCAAAAACATTACCCAGCACTTAGGTAAAAGCTACTGAGATTTTTAGGTGATCCCATAGAGGAAAACAATCAGAAACTTTTATCATATTCTGGTAGTTTTAATCAAACTGTTTTTTTTCTCAGTGTATTAAGATCATAAAGTTTAAGTATACAGAAAGTTATTCCCCTTAAATATCAACCGATTTTTGTCAAATTTAGCACATTCGATAACTAGTATTACTAAAAGCAACGTTCGGCAGCTGTTAAAAGTCGATCTAAAAACTTTTTCCTTTCCTTCTTACCCAACTCTCTATTCGTGAAAGAGGCATTAAATTGATTAGTTTAATGAAAATAAGCTAAAACTTACAGTTCACCTTGCTTTTTATACATACGTTAAGTGTAAAGAAAAAATATTATACTTTGATACTGATCACAGTTTATTTCTCAATACATTATTCTATATTTAATAGAGATTTGAAATATATTGGAAAGTTCCAAGTTGTATGAAAATTATAGAAACGGTCAAATGTTTCGAACCAATTATTGTATTGCAGATTTGCATTTTCCATACAACATTGCTACTTTTTGTCCCACACACTTTTTTTTATTTGGTCTTGAATCGCTTGAACTCGGCGCAAATTGTTTGAAATAGAAAAGTCTGTGCAACTCATGCGAGATCGAAAGAAATAAAAATGGCCGTGTTTTTATTATAAAAAAACCTAAGTAGACCAAATTTGGCCTATGTCCACCCTTTGATAGGGCCAAATTTGGTATCATTGTCATTGAAATGAATTTTTATAATTTCGATTCGATGCTAAGTTTTTGAAATATGTAAGTACAGCAGACAACCTGTATCACATTCTATTCTCTAATTTAGTGACCATTTCATCATATAAAATAAATAAAATTGTGAAAGAATTCCCATCTTCCTTTATATCCTTATCAATAATCGCTATTTATGTACATGCTTCTCTCCTAGAGTTTTAAGTCTACACAAGTCTCTCCTAGAGTTACAAGATTTGCGCTACCGAGAGTAACTTTTATATTGCACAATACAAATATTCACCTTATGAAGGAACGTTTTACTTAATGCTTCAGAAATTTTCATTAAAAATCTTAAATAAATATCATTTTAAACACACTTAATGAAATGCCCTTCGAAGACATTTTCTCAAGAGTTCGCAAAGACTTAACCGTTTTCAATTTAAAAAAAGTAAAATTAAATAAAATATGAAGAAAACTCCATTTAAAATTATATTTTGTGGTTAAAATTCATGGATTGTTATTATTTTTTGAGTTAGCTCTATTAAATATAAAATACTGCATTAAAATACCTTTAAAATTTATAGGAATATAAGAGATATTTCGTTTAAATGGATTTATTGTAAGTGGTAAAAAGCAAGTTGGACGTCTAGACTATTAAAAATTTTCGAGGAATTCCGGACATTGCTCGAATAAAAAGTAAAATTTTGGTTTTATTGTCAAAGCGTTTTGTTTCAACATAAACGTTTCTACGTTTACGTTGATTGATTGCTATTTTAATCAGTTGAAAAAACCTCAAAAAGTCATAACAAGAAAACTAAAACATATGTAAAAAAAAAGTTCTTTTAACGTTTATTTCCGAAATTTATGAAATTAAAGTTATAAAATTTATAAAATACATTTATAAAATTATGAAATTAAAGTTATTTTCTGAATGTCTCGTGTGTAAGTATATTATATCGTGAATGTATTTCAGTAAATATTTAACAAAACTCTAAATATAAGACAGTTTTTTTCGCAGTATTTTCAGTGACAAAGGGACTGTAAATGACGCAAAGAAAACTCGTAAAGCTTCTTTACATTTATAAACCACTTTATATGGATAAAATGACATATTTTGCTGTTTATAGTTGCTGTAAAGGGATACGTACTTATGTATTTCACTGCATGCATCTTAGTATTAGTTGTTATTGTGAAGTGTTAGTAATTTTATATTTCTACGTTTATGAAGTGATATATTCAAATGATTTCAATTTGCAATTACTGGGCCAATCATTGAGCTTGTGATATTACTTGATTTTCGTTGATGATAATCAGAATTACACCAAAACCCTTTTTATTTATTATTATTTGGTTTTTTTATAACTCGAAAAATAGCTCCACATTTCTTACGCATTGAGCACTGTCATAACCAACCTTAACGGAATTGTTAAAAATTTAATGTCGTACGCATAAGAAGTTGCAAATAAGTATAAAAGGGAAGCAAAAATATATTAAAAAAACATATCAAAACCTGGCAATTAATTATTAATGAAGGCTGGATTAAAAACATCATTTGAAAGCAGTTAAACTGAAGTTTGAATGCATTTCTAATTATCCATCTTTCAACTCCTTTCTCAGTTTGCTTTATATCAATCAAAAAGATTTTTAACCTACTCACTAAAGGAATATTCTTGAAACATGATCTTAAATTTACTGTAAGAAGTAACGTATGTATTTTTTACAGTAAATTCAATACATTCAACCACGGATAGGGAAGGACTTTGTGCTATGTAGATTAAAGCAAAAAAGCAACGTGAATAAAGCACAACTCCAAATGAAGGTAGAGAAGGAAAGAGAACGTGAAAAGTGGTTTAACCGATAGGGACAGAGGAACAAGTTTGAACTAGGAAATAACAATGACCAGATACGAAACAGGTGTGAAGGGATTTGGCCAGAGTTACGGGGTGAAACAGATTATATTAAAATAGACTTACAAGTATCGGTAAACGGTGGGATATTCGAAAGATCATTAACTAAATTATTAGAATTTTTCAAAATATAGAATAAATCCCAAAAATCAAGTTCGGATGGTGAAGAGCAGTGTTGAATGATTTTAGTTGAAGAAAACATAAACCTGTATTTTGATTTTAAACTGCAGAGAGTGATGGAATATCGGTTAATATCCTGATTTTGGACGTATCTTTCGTGTCCTATAAATCGAGGTTTAAGGGTGCGTTTAGTTTGTTCACTGCTCTTGCCTTCTAAATTTTATTTTTGGGATTCTATATTTTGAAAAATTCTAATAATTTAGTTAACGATCCCACAGTTTACCAATATTTAGAAGTCTATTTTAATGTACTCTGTTGCACCCTGCGGTTATCTCGAAATCCCCTCATACGTGTTTCATATCTGCCTTTTTTTTATCTCTCTGTTCAAACTTACAATGATTTTCAAGATTCTGAAAACAAGAAAAAATTATTAAAAATAATGAATGTGAATGTATAATTATTTCAGAATTAAATACCTGAAAAAACAATGTATAACAAAAAGCCACATTCAGCATGAAGAAATGTTTAACCATTTTGTATGGATAAAACAATTATAGAAATTTGAATGCTGCTATAATGAATTATTGTATACCTTTTTTCATACTTTAATTGTCTAAAAAACATCAATGGTTATTATGAGCAATTTAGTTTTTGGGGTTTTTACCAGATTTTCTGAAGTTTCGCAAAATTGTGAACCATAGCGTATGAGAAGAAAGTTATCATAACCTTCTATTGACCCTAATCTAGATTATTTTTAATATACAATTTACTATAAAAAAATTATACCATAGATATCACATTTTACAGTAATATATTCTTCAAAAATAACTTGATATTTTTAAAATTTTAGTCCCTTTTGTTAAAGATTCGTCAAATTTTTGCTTTTTCTCACTTTTATATTGATTTGCAGCTCTAAATGTGTTTGATTTTTACTCCATTTTTTAAAACATCTGTTAAGGGAAGTAATTATGGAGCACCCGATATACAAAAAATATACAAGTAGTAAAACAACTTAAGCC